CTACAGTCTCTAAAAATGAATCTGACATGTTTTGATCTCGATGTGAAATGAGTAACACATTAGTTTGAAACTGTGCGCCTTGTGACACCGACTGGCTTGCAGTGTGATGTTGGCCTACAGCTGTTCTTACATAACAGTAATCTTTAAAGGCTGTCCCGTGTTTCCATGGTAATGTGTTTGGTTTCCATAGCGATCGCACTCTCAACAGGAGAAGAGGCTAGCCGAGAACCGTGCACCTACATTTCCGAGGAGAGACGAGAATAGGGCGTCTGGTGAAATAGCATGACAAACAATCGGCACGGATGGAGAAAACTTCCTGCATTTAGAGCCTGTGTTGTTGCTCCACTGCCCACAAGAAATAAACAGCTTTGGGGTCTGGTTGTTTGTTTTAGCTTTGTGTTTACACGCAGTCGATAAAGTTGCACTTGAGATGTTCATGCTGGAACGATGTTGTGCTATTTCACAGCTGGAGTGGTATTTAGTTAACATTTGTGTGGCAAGGCAGAGCGGAGCAGGAAATTAGTTTAATCCAACAAATGCTTTTTGAGACGGCAGTGGAAATGAACCAATTTAATGCCATTAGTGGGTTTTGTTAATGCACAAGGTTGTTTGTGTAATCCTTTTGACCTCTCCTCGTTTTGTTTACGCTGGCATAAAAGTGATTATAATGTAGAATATTTGAAGCTAGGTGATTTCTAGACAGTCTGCTATCTCCTCTCTCTAGCTGCTCCTCTTTTCTCTTTCTCCTACATGCAGTTTTGGATATAAATTGCTTCATTCACCCTGTATTTGCAGGTGTTAGCAGATTTTGTGCACTGCAGCGTTGGACTCTGTCTGGAGTCATGGCAGCCTCAATCGAAAGGATCCTATTACACAATTCCTGCAGTGCTTTAGTGGGTCATTGTGAGCAGGATTTGCATTAAATCAACTTTAAATTCTGCTTTGAAGGCTTAAATATCTTTCTATTCTCTTGGTAAAACTTCACTGAACTAAAGTTTTTCTTAGCCACAGCCTCAGTAATGATTTGCATCCCGAAAGTCTTCAAAACTTTGCATCCTGGTTAGCAACTTTCAAAAAACAAAGTAAACTACGATACAACACTGGATTGGTCAGTAATAGGGAAAATAAAAATGTTACACAATTCAAGTATTTATAAGTAATGTCCATCACAGGATTGATTATGGCAAAATACCCATTGTAGGCCCTCAAGCTCAAATAGATTATGTGTTTCTGTCTTGAGTTATTAATGTCACAATGAGTGTGTGTTTATGTCAAAGCAAAGACTACGTGCTACTTGAAAAAAGTCCAGTTTTATGAAACACTGGATTCTTTTCGTGACTCTTTTCTGCCAACACATAAGCGCCCTGTGGCCTTGCTTCGTTCATCCTAACACAATTGGATGCATTAGTGAAAATGCTGACAGCTCTGTCTTCGCCACTTAGATGGACGTCTGAACAGGTATATTCTCTGTAAACAACAACAGTCAGTAGGAAGAACAGCTTCATTGTTCAGTCCCATTCGGTCTCTCTGTTGTTCTGTTGTCGGCGGCCACATTTGTTTCACCTGGCAATAAACAGCAACATGAACAAACGCAGCATGCGGCTTGTCAGCTGGTGAAACTAAAGCGAATAAGGTCTGACTAGCAGTCTGGAAGCATTAAGACCTTGTTGTAAACCAGGCTGGATCAGGCAGTGCCAGAAGTGCAGACACTGCAGTGCAGCTTTGGTTCGTGTTAGACTTAACTCTGCCTCAAACAATCAGAAATTCAGTGAAATGTTTGTTCAGTGTGACCATAAAGGACATTTTGTGTGTTTTATGTGGCAGGTTTTGATGTGCATCTCACTGTTGTTGCTCAATTCCAGCAGCACTCTAATCCAAGTGGATTTTTACATTTTGTTGTATTATTAACAGGCCAGACACTGGCTGACTCTGTCTCCCTAATGAGTGAGTTTGGCACCAGATTAATCGCTGATGTCCTTATTTCTCTGTCAATAACTGATGTCCTAATCACATGAGGGAGACACAACAACAAGAGTTTTCCCTCCTGAATGATTGCAGCGGGAGCATGCAGCCTGGTTTTCTCATATTCTTTTATTTTTAAATTGCTATTTAATGTAGTATTTATGACAGAAGAGCGGGGACGGCAGAGTGAAGAGCATGAAGGGTTTTAGGAAAACGGGGGCGAACGTGGTTACAAAGGTGTCGGTCTCAACCCAAACCGCCTCTTCTTTGGACAGAGTTTGGAGTTTCTTCAGACGAGGAAGGCGTAAGGATTTCTACAGTATTTAATTTTGTTATTTGTCTCAATGATAGATGTAAACTGATAAATCTATCCAGAAAAAAAAGCCTTGTGAGGGTGCACAAAATGTAGAAATTACAAATTTAGCGGGTAAAGAGAGTTTAGAGATATGAATTAGAAAAATGTTTTGAATGGTATCGGTATGTCGGTATGTGTAATTAGCAGCTTCTTGTTGCAACTAAAAGACAAAGTAAATCATTAAAGCAAGAGAGCCATGCCCCGTAAATGTGAACCAAAATTGGTAACTACTCACTTCTAGTTTTTTTGTCTAGTAGATATATATCAGCCATAGTAAACTAAGGCAATTAAGTTTGCTAACCCACATAAATAAGATAGTAGCTAAATCTGCTTCTCTGAATCAGTTTTTGAAGCTAATTGGTGTCATTAATTTTCTATTAAATCACATATTTGCAAGTATTACATTACAACTACGTTTAGTGCTGATACATCTGTGAGAGTTTACCCTTTTATCCTGATAACTTTTCTCAGTTTCTCCTTTTTTTGTAGTTGCTAGTTTCTGCCTTTCTTGGGTAGCAATCGATAATATATTGACAGTTTCATATCACCCCATTAAGTGTGATTATGAGGGGGGAAAAAAATGGACAAAACCAATTATAGGCCCAGAATTAGTCAAACAGCATGCAAACACAACACCTTTTATTAAAGCAGGTGGCCTAGGGCTTGTGAAAATGTTGGTTTTATTGTTGTGGAAAATCTCAGAAAACCAATAAAAGCGGACAGAAACAGAGAGAGGGTCTGTCAGCTCTCAGTGTGACGCTGGATGCTTTGGGTTCGCTCTGTTGTTGTCATGGTAGTTCTGGCTGCACATTTGTATTGATGCGGACTAATGGGCTGCATCAGTCTCTAGCAGAGCACCGCCCATTACCCACGCATACTTGCACACACATTTCCCTTTGCTCACAAGTCTGCTGTGGCCTTCAGAGTCAGAGCTCCAGCTCTCTGTGCTGTGACAGACAGGTGGAGACTATTTATCCTCGCCAACCGCCAGCCAGTTGGATCGACATGGATCTTTTGGAAATCTGTCTTCTCTGCTTGTCTCTAAATCTTTTGCTGTTGTTGTCGGTTAATTATTTTGTAGAGGCTGATTAAGGGACCATGTTGGGATGTGTGACCCATTTGTTAACATTTGACCCCAGTATATATAAGTTATGTCAAAAAACATGACTGGGTGATAATGAAGAGTTCTGGCTCCGCTGTTTTTTTTGGGCTACATAACAAAGAGTTTTCTTTTCCTTTGCACAGTGTTGACACTTGAGTGATGTTGTGATTCCAGGAAACACATTGTAGAAATCAATGAAATCCTCTCCGAGCTGAGAAGAGCGGTCACGTGACAGGAAGTAGAGGAGTGTGTGGTTTGTGTGATTGACTTTTTGGTCAAATGACTGGCAACACTCACTTCATCTCTACAGGGGGAAACTTTCTCCATGTGCTACTGTCAGCATCTTAATATCTCTCACTTGATAGATTTTTTAAAATATTAATTAATAATTAGATGGCCTTCCTCTAAAAGAAACAAAGCAGACAGAAGGTAAAATGGACAATTTCATAACAAAAATCACAAATTCCTGATATGATGAATTAGAATGTTTTGGATTGAAAGTATTTTACACGTTTTACACTTTTGCATCATGTCCTTTTTCCATTGAGAGTGAAACACCCAGGGGAAACACAACACACAGAAAGTTGAGCATAATACACAATAAAATATATAAAACACACAGAAAGGTCAAACATGTAGTCGATTATTGATTCAATTTCCATCGAACCAGCAACTGCTTTGATAATGTTCTGGTTATTTTTCAAGCACAAATAGTGATGATATGATAATCGATTATGTTTGCTCATGTGTAGTTTTGGTGTTTTTCTCATTTTACTATTGTTGTAAACCAACTATCTTGTGGTTTTTGAATGCTGGTGAAGCAAAACAAGGGTGGCTGATGGGATGCTAGGATGCTCTTTTTCTTCCTATTTTTTTCATTTTATATATTAAATTAATAGATACAAATCTTGATGATAGTCCTGGTTTGCAGCCCTACGGCACATGTTAAGCCATAACGATATATAATTGGGACAGCATAATGTCAAGTTACATTGTGTAACTTAAGGTTAGCGATTAGCCAAAACATGTCATTCACCTGAAAAATGATGGCTGAAAGGCTTTTCTGACAGTACTGTTGTCCATGGCAGTGTATCGGGCCGTTCATCCGGCCACAAACACATTGGTAGTAGTTGCTCCACCATATTGTGCATTAAGATTCAGTGCTGAATGTGCCCTTGTCGCACCATATGTGACACCAGCTGATGAATTTGATTAGCTTTTTATTGTTTCACCACCCTCAGGGGCTGCTTAAATTTGGTGCTGGATCCTAAGAAGATAAATCTTACATTTTGACATCCTAGTGTTACGAGTTATTCACCAATATACCAATGAAAACAGCCTCAGCTTCAGTAGTTTATATTGTGCTTGTGATCATGTATGATGAATGGCATGTGCAGTGGGAGCCTGCCTTGATTGTTACCAAGTGTTGATCAGAATTGTATCAACTTTTAACAGGAGAATGTTTGTGAAACGTTGATTCATCACTAAGATTTGGGGAGAAATTTGAAACCGATATATGTGGAAATTGCGTGTGAGATTTGTTTGTTTTTACACTGACAGTCATCTTTGTCCCTCATTTAGGAGGCCAGCCCAGGATGAACGGCGAGTCAGGTGCCGGAGTGGTGACGGCCCCTCCTCCCACCACAGCCCCCCACAAGGAGCGGTACTTTGACCGGGTGGACGAGAGCAGTCCAGAGTACCAAAGGGAGAGGAACATGGCGCCTGACCTGAGACAGGACTTCAACATGATGGAGCAGAGGAAGAGGGTCTCCATGATTCTACAGAGCCCGGTCAGTGGCACAAACACATTCATTCTGTACATTCACGTATTCAGATGCAGTTGTTTACCTTCCATGGATCAGGTTGTTAACACTCAAAATGCAGCGCTACATCGGCTGTACGTTATCAACTTACAAAACATTATGGTCGTGGTTGATAAATGCACATCGGCCATTTTCAAATGTGAGTATGCTGCTTCAGTGTAAAGAAAGCAGCCTTCTCAACATCACATGATGGATCCAGTTTATTCCTCATCAACAGTGTGTTTGTTAGCAGCTGAATGCCCAGGACACAGAGCAGCACTGTTTAAAGGCCTATTGTATGTATGAAAAGCACTCATGTATCCGTCTGTAAAGCAGGCCTTGCGTAGTGCTCATGAGGTTTATACTGTGTTAAGCTCAGGACAGTACAGAGATGATTTGTTACTTTACTACTTCCAATGGCCTGATCAGTTATTGACTGTGTAGTTATGCCTGCCCTTCAATATACTGCTTCTGTTCAACAGTAGTATTTGTCATGTTTCTAAAAGCCACCACACTTTACAACCACTGGTGGCATATTTCTGTTTGTCATCCTGACTGTGTTGATGACCGGCAGGCTTTTTGCGATGAGCTGGAGACAATGATCCAGGATCAGCTGAAGAAGGGGAAGACGCCCACAAGCCTGCTGGCTCTGCAGCAGATCGCAGACTTCATGACCACCAGCATGCCCTCCATGTATCCCGCTGCACCACAGGGAGGCATGGCGGCGCTGAACATGAGTAAGCAAAGAACAGAATGAGTGTATGCGACTTTTTGACCTCAGCCCTGCTATGTCTGTGCTCACAATGAGTAATGCAGCGTATGCCAGCGCTAATTTCAGGACAAGGAGTCCAGTCGGATTTCAGTAGGCAGAACTAATTTCATTTTTATGTGTACGTAGGTTTGTTTTCTGTTTTTTGTCCTGTTGGAAAGGAACATGGAGGAAAGTGGTTCTTGTCTTCACACAGCACTATTTTATATCAGTAACACTGAAGTGTCTCAGTGTTACTTCTCACTAGTATTATTATTATTTTCCAACCCCTCCACTGCAAGTAAACACTGTGTTTGTGTGTGACCCCGTCTTTTCCTCTCAGGTTTGGGGATGGTGACTCCAGTCAACGATCTGCGCGGCTCAGACTCTATTTCCTACGACAAGGGTGAGAAGCTGCTCCGCTGCAAGCTGGCTGCCTTTTACCGGCTCGCTGACTTGTTCGGCTGGTCTGAGCTCATCTATAACCACCTCACAGTAAGACCATTCATTCTGTATTTAAAAAAAATAGAACATCTTGAATGATTTAGTTTAGTTAGTTCACTAAAGAACACATAGCAGTAGATATTTTTTCCATTTTATCCTAGCTCACATTTCCTTTGTATTTATGTGCAGTGTAAACAGTTTGACCAATCCATATGTTGACAAATATTCATTTCATTATATACATTTCTGATCAGTTCTTTATGAGCTGTAGGAAATTGCTTTTGAGTCAGCTAACAAGCTTAATTTATTGATTAGTTCAGCTCAATTGAAACCACTTTCCATGGAATAATGTAATCTAACGTGACTGCCCTCTGGTTTTGTAGGTCAGAGTGAACTCAGACCAGGAGCGCTTCCTTATTGTTCCTTTTGGGCTCCTTTACAGTGAAGTTACTGCCTCCAGTCTGGTAAGCTCTCTAATAAAGCTTCAAGCCTTTTTTATGTGTCTCCTCCTTATTTTAATCTCTTCGTATCCTTGAATTCACGTTATTGTGAGATATACTGTGTTGAAACAATCCCATGCTGTCGTTTTGACTAACCCTTTGTTATCTGCTCTGCCTTCCAGGTGAAGATAAACCTTCAAGGTGAGGTTGTGGACAGAGGGAGCACCAACCTTGGGGTCAACCAGGCCGGTTTCACCCTCCACTCAGCCATCTATGCTGCACGGCCTGATGTCAAGTGTATTGTACATATACACACACCTGCAGGTGCTGCGGTAAGGGACAGTGGCAGTAACGTTACCCAGTACAAAACAGAGTTGTCATAGTTAGTCACATGTTGGATGACCTTGTTGGTTGTGTGCAGGTTTCGGCTATGAAATGCGGGCTGTTACCCATCTCACCGGAGGCGCTGTCTCTCGGTGAAGTGGCCTATCACGACTATCACGGCATACTGGTGGATCAGGAAGAAAGTGCTCTCATACAGAAGAACCTTGGGCCAAACAGCAAGGTAACAGCAGTGTGTATAGAACAGTGAGAGATGAGAACAACTTACTTCTGCAGCTGAGTAAAATTACATCTTTCCTTTTGTCCCAGGTGCTCATCCTGAGGAACCATGGCTTGGTGTCAGTAGGTGAAACAGTGGAGGAGGCTTTCTATTACATCCACAATCTGGTCACTGCCTGTGAGATTCAGGTAGGACACACACTCAGCTTTATAATATCAATCTGAAATTTCAGTAGGCAATAGTAGTCAGGCTGCACTTTTGCTATTATTGTGCTAGAATATACAGAACCATGTTTTTTCTTTCGGGTTGTTGTATTTGGCACCATGTTTGTCTGCATTACTCATAATGGTTGCCCTTGTCCCTTGTCTCCCCACATCTTTATATATGTTTACCTTTTCTTCATGTTGATGTCTGTGTGTTGTGTTGGATGTTTGTCTCTGTGAATGTGCTCATGCCCACACCTTTTGTTTTTTTCTCCTCCTTCTGTACTCTGGATCCGTCTGCGGTTTGTCTCTTTGTATACCCCCCTTGATGTTTTCCAGGTGCGAACACTGGCTAGCGCTGGAGGGCCAGATAATCTGGTGATGCTGGACCCGGGGAAATACAAGTCACGTCCTCGGGTTCCTGAGCCAGCTGGGGATGGGTCAGCAACACACCCCAAATGGCAAATCGGGGAGCAGGAGTTTGAGGCTCTTATGAGAATGCTCGACAACTTGGTAAGCACAAAGGATAGGCTGTGACTTTAAACTCATAGCCAAGATGGGAGAATGCTCTCACTTCTCCTGTTTCATGGCTGGATTCTCACAATTTCTTCGAAAATGATTAAATTCTGTCAACAAGTAGAAGATCAACTCTGCCCTTGAAGAGTCATGTTTGACTGTTGTTTGCGGTCTTATTTGTTTGACTCTTTCCTGTAAACCACAATTGAGGTGATAATTGTTAGACGTGATTTCACAATGTCTCCAGGAAAATATCCTGCTTACTCATCCAAATCAACAGACCTTGCTGTAGACAGATATAGGCATCAACAGGGCTCTCATGGCATGTTTCCACTAAGATATGTACAATAATATCCTTTCCTATTGATGAGAAGATGTGTTTCAATGTACTTTTGAAACACTTGAAGGTCGTGGCAAATGTCGCTGAGGAGTTTAACTCAAAAACTATGAAATTAAGGCCACATCTTCACAGAAATCGTAAAGCAGCAGCAGCAGCTCCAAAATGACTGAAAATTGTGGTGAAAATATTATTTGGATCAACTCTAAATTTCAGGGGACTATAGTTACCAGATGGACTTCTATTATAGGTGATCACATTTATGTGGTTGAAGCTTCAATTCAAAACACAGATTTGTCACTTGTAGGCTTTAAAGGTAAACTACACATTTTTTCCTGTCATTTGCACAGCATGTCTTTCTACAAACGTGTTTTGCGAGCATTTGCAACACAAGTGCTAAAGTGAACTCGTGTGTATTGAATTGACCAAGAGTTTGTTGTATTCTTTACAAATTATTTGTGTGTGTGTAAATACAAGAGTGTGTTTTTTTTTCCCCTCTTTTAAATAGTCTAACCTATTATTACCCATGTTCTCACCTCTGTTACTGTTCTATGTCTTTCTCTTTTTTAGGGCTACAGGACGGGCTATCCTTACCGCTGCCCGGCCTTGCGAGACAAAGGTAAAAAGTACAGTGATGTGGAGATCGCTTCCTCCGCCCATGGTGGTTACTCATACGGGGAGGACAGCGACTCAGGTGCTCGCTCCCCGCTGAAACACAGCTTCCAGCGCGGCCCGCGCGACAAGACCCGTTGGCTCAATGCCGGCGGTCGCCCCGACGAGCCCTACGAGGATGGGCCCGACGGCAGCAGCCCCAAGTCGAAGCCTAAGGTGTGGACGAACATAACACACGATCACGTCAAACCCTTGCTGCAGTCTCTCTCGTCCGGTGTCTGCGTGCCAAGCTGTATAACCAACTGCTTGGTCTGTGCCTACCTTATTGTTCATAGTATAGACTTTACAGCTACCTTCTTGGTGGAAATGGGTAGGTGGTCGGCATCCTGACGGTCTGGGGACAGCAAAAAGTTTCTTTTCTTATCGTGCTCACCTGAGCCTTTTACAGAACTGCTTTCGCCCTAAAATGCAAGTCAGTGTAATCCTGCTTTTCACTACTTTTAGGCTCACTCACTGTAATATCAGGTGTCCTATTAACCCACCTTTCTAATGCAGTCAACTCTCTCTGGTAATTACTTTGTATCAAAGCTGTAATTATTTGTCAGCCCTCTTTGCTCTTTTCCCTATGGTCTCCTAATGCTTCACGATGCCAGGCCAGCTGCCCAAAGCATGCTTCACTGCATGTGTAGTAGTGAAATGCATTGTTGGTGTTGATGTTTTTCCCAGAGGAGCGAGCAGCAGGGGTGTGGCATGAGTCCTCAAGTAGGCAGGTGAATGTGGCAAGACCAGGTGATGTTGCTGCTAACCACACTACTGCTCACCACTTTCTAATTCACGCTCTTAGCTTTGTCTCTGCATCTTGACGTCGGCTAACTTTGTTGCTTAAAGCTGAGTCGGGAAAAATCATCAAGAAAAGAAAGATGAGCGAGATATGAGGCTATATTAACCATAACCTCGCAAGTGTGACTTTGCTTTGTGGACTTCTCAGAAAATGTGTTTATTAGACTTTTTATAAGACAATGGAGGAAAGTGGCATGTCTCTGTGAATAATGCCAGATACAGTATAACATTTATTCAAAACGTAACTATGATTATACAACAAAGCAAAGCTTTCCTTGGCAAAAGAGTTATGCAGCCTGCTTTTTCTTTTTTACATTTCTTTTTTTAACACTTGCAACTGCTCCCAGTTGTACGATTGTGTTTCCTTTATTATTTTTGTTCTGTCTAACTTCTGGTTTCAGTTTTATTCCGAAAGTGGTTTTGAACACCTCAAGGCTTGCATGAGTGGATTTGTTGGAAGAAAAAAAAAAAAAGAAACAGAAAGAAAAACTATGAAATTTGACCTGACTTTTGAATTAATTATCTCCTGTTGGGAAAGTAGGAAATGTTGTGTTGTGAGACTCTATCTCAGTGAGTATATCGTGTTTACATGTTCATCTCATACTCAACCAACCCAACCCAGCTATTTCCATCCAGAACCCTTTCCTCATCTGGTTTGGCAGCTAACCAGCCAAGCTTGGAGTAAACACAGGAATGAAGTCATGAGCTTATGCTTTCCACTGCGAGTTACATGCTTAGTTTAAAAAGGTTGAATAAAAACATTTTTGCATGAAAGCTGAAGATTTGATTTCTATATTTTCACCTGCTGCTCATTCAGTTTGGTGCAAGAAAAGGTTGCAGACTTTTCCCCTCAATCATGCTGAGCATTACCAGGTTTACAAAAAACACTTTTTGTGAAAAGTATATGGGGTATTTCTTCACATTTAGAAAGACAATTAAAGGTTTCAGCCTCTGCAGGGAAGATATTCTTAGTTTGTAGTGTTGTGACAATGGCTTTTTTGTCCCAACATGGGAGAGTGTCCTCGGGTGTGTTTCTCTCTTATCTCTGTCGTCCTTGTTGTTGTGTATCAGCCTGGAAAATGACTTTGGTGATGCCAGCTCACCCCTCACTGCCACTCTCGCTTCGTAAGCCAGCCTCATCGTCTTAGTCACCCACCCAGGCATCTCTCACTTCTCCCTCACCCCTCGCCACCACCCACTCCTCACTTCTCCCACCCTTACCCCTTTATGTTATTTTTTTAATCATTCTGTGATGTTCTCAGTTGATCTTCACTGTGCTCCTCCTGTTTTGTTTTTTATTTATTATTTTAAGTCAAATACTATATCAATGATGATGACATGATTGTTAGTGGTACAGATGCACTGTTAGTCATTGCGTCTTACACTTGAACCTGTCATACATAAGATGTTTTCATCTGTTTCTGACTGAGCATCACCAACTCTGGTCATCTCAAAAGCAAGAGGGTTTATACTGATGTGAAGGATGTTAAAACACAGCTTTGAACACAGTGTTTCCTCTCTGTGTGGGCTCCTACAGCTTGTTGCACAGGCTTCTCAGCACCTTAAAAGTAATCAGAAACCTGCCAGAAAATTACTTCATCCTGCCTGGAGTCTTCTCATATTTCTTGACAAAAATGTGGGTTTTTATTACAACCCGACCGATGCTAGATTTTGGGGCCTTTGCCAATACTAGTTTTTAGAGAGTAAAACATTCTGATATTGATATATCGGCTGATGTTTTGTCTTAAAAATAGATATATATATATGTCAGAGTACCTTGGAAAAAGGAAAATGATGTGGTCATTGTTTACCAGCTTACCAACTTTGGTATGTTTCACAAACTAGTTAGCAGCTTACTGTGAAGACACGACTTGACTCCGTACCATCCTCTGCTGCATGTGCTGCAGACGGTGCTGAGGGTTTTATACAGAATCACAAGCTGTGTGATGACAAGCTCCAGTTAGATTGTGTATTATTTTGTATTACTTGGAAAATGGCATCTATTACCAGGGGTTAATAAATAAACATCAGAGATCTGCTGAGGTTAGGACATAGAAAAGTCAATCACTAAATTTACATAAATGAAGCTTGCTCACATTTTCCTAAATGTGCCTCATCATCATTGGTTCACTTTTTTACATTCAGATCGTTTTAGTCATCCAACTTTGTCAATTTCAGTTCAGCATGATTCTTGTATTGTGAAGCCTGCATAGTATTATGTCTAAATATATTTTTGTGCTTGGGTTTTCATGTCTTTCTGTGCCTTCTTAGCTGATTTTAACACTTTACGTGGTGTTTACAGTGGACTAAGGAAGATGGGCTCCGCCAGGCTGCCGCAGCCAATCAGTTCATCCCATTAAACACCAACCCAAAGGAAGTCCTGGAAATGAGGAATAAGGTATCACAGCTTTCTTTAGTCGTAGGCTTCAGCTGGTTTCTTGCTCATTTGTACTTCATAAATAATGTTCTCCTTTTTGCTGCTTGTACTTTAAAGACTATCTAAGGCTCCTGGTGTGCATGGAAGTACATCGAGCAGGATGCACTTATTGTGAATGATCATATTTCATGAGTTAAAATGTTGTTTGTAGATCCGGGAGCAGAACCTGCAGGATATTAAGACAGCAGGACCCCAGTCTCAGGTTCTGTGTGCAGGCACTGTGGGGGATCGCTCCTTCAACCAGGTCAGTCTCTACTTGGCTCTTGAATACCTCCCTGCTACAACTATCCTGACCTGGAGATGAATATACGTCTCATACTTATGAAGTAACTGGGTTTTTGTCACGCTTCTAATGAGATTAAAACAAAGTCTCCTAATATATTCTGTCCAGGTCTGGAGTCGCCCCATATACCAAGATGCTTCAATGTGTGAATATTGTGCATAAAGTTGTCCCGGACACTGAGCTGTAACGACAGAAATTAATTGAAATCAGACTTACCCATTACAATCTGACACCTGACAGAATAACCTCAAATAACAGAGCAAAAACATGTCCTCCATGTTGTTTACCAGAGCATGGGGTGACTTTGTAACTGTGACATTTTTTTGACCACAGAGATTGTCAATCTGGCAGGTGAGTAGTATGTGGGAGAGGTAACCTCACTCTGCTCTCCAAACCTGCCAGCTCAGGCTGTGTCCATATTCATACATTGTCTGTGAGCGTTTTTATTTGGTTTGCCTTCTCTGTTTCGGAGTTCAGAGTCACGGCTGTTATCTGTCCCAGCATTTGCAAGCCGGTCATTTTGGTGTCTTGAAATGCTAAACAAAATCCTCATTACAGTCAGATAATATGTTTCCCCTCTGTGCATGTGACCCTTTTTTCTCTTTTGAGAAAAGCAGATGCAAAAACATGAGAACATGTGTAAAATATTTATTCAGTTCAAGTTCAGTTTGCATGGCTCACCCTTCCTTCACTATGGAGCTCGTAGCTCAGGTTTTCCACATTTGTTAAATGGACTTCAAAAGTGTTAACCCAAAACACTAAGCGGAGCAGAACATGGGAAAATGGAGACAGAGCCGAGTAAGTTTATCAAGTCCTAGAGGTAACAGAAACCTCCCCGGTGCATCAGCAGTAAAGCCAAAGGAGGTACTGATGAGCTTATATGATCCACATACTGTATAGCACCCCCTTGTGTGAACACTTTGCCTTTACAGTGCATGCTTCTGGCTACCTGTCCCATCACTGCCATGCTTTTCATAACCCCGCGACTCTTTTTAGAACCATCTCTCTTTGCATGCACTTCCAGTATTTGTGTATGTTTGTATGGTATGTATGGATGCAGAGGTGGAAAGTTACTAAGCGCAGAGGCAGCTGAAATGTTATTAACCTTAAGTAAATGAATGCAACTACTTTTGAAAAAGCAGGATTACAGATAAGCCTGCAGCTGTGCTGTTACTGTACAAAAAGGAGGACTTATTTACTTTGGGCCTCCTTTATAACAGGAGGCTTCTGAAAGTTGAGCTCTGCAGAGTCGACTTTTTGAGTAGTAACCTCATGCCTGCCAGAGGATTACTTCTATTAAAGCACTTCTACTTGAGTGAGATGTTCTATTCTTTCCCCCTTTGTGCGTGTGAAAGGTGGTATGTTTATGAATGTTTGCACACATTCACGGCTGCCTGACAGACTGCTAATTTGAATGTGCTGGTGCTGAAGAGCTGGGTTATGCCTCCACCCCCCCTCACTGGGTTTACTATTGCAGGACGCCCCTCTGTCTGACTGTACAGACACTATTGATGGCCTCGATGTGTCCGAGGGGTCCTATAGTCCTGCTAAATCATTTAGAAAGGTACTTACTGCTCCAATCACAAATATTTTTCACCTGTCCTTCACATCATCCTCCAATCAGTCCTCTGCAGATAGGCACTTGATATTTGGATCTGCATAGATGAAGTGAAGCATAGTGTTAGACTGAGGCCATACTATGTCTCTTTATGTTTGTAGCATCATGTGACCTGGTCGTTTCTACATGTTTATTTATCTTAGAGACTTCGGATGCAGGTAGTTTTTTGTTTTCTTGCTAGCTAGGATATTTCAGGTTGCTGCTGATAGATGTTAAGTATAAGTTGCTGCTGTGACTCTGTCTGCAGAATAGATTTTATTATTATTTCCAACTTTTTTTTTTCTCAAGTTGAGATGAGCTGCGAAATGAGTTTAGATCCAGTGATGGTGGCGTTCACTGCATGTTTCTGACAGTATGTTGAACAAATTGCCTGAAATGAATAAGTGACTTAAAGGGATGTTTTTGGCTTAAGATATACAGTTACTGCAGGTGATTGTTAGTGCACGAAAGTCATAAATATTTGCTTCATCTTGACTGCTCTCTTGACTGCTTTACTGTTGGCTTGGACTGCTCCTTAGACCTGTCAGAGCTTTGCTGTATCATATGTACTACATGAAATAAAAAAAAAGCCAAATGCTGCTCTTTCATAATAAATAAAATGTCTTGTTTTTCATCGTTTTGCATCTTTTCTAAATTAGGCAGCAGCCTGACAGCTCTTACTTGTGCTCTTAAAATCTACATTTATTCACTTATGGCTCACGTTACTGCTAATGCTGAGTAACAGTTACATAAGCGCAATGCCTCTCTTCTGATAATTGCTTTTCAAATGTTTCTAAACTGCAGCCAGTTTTATATATTGGTATATACTTTGTATAAAAGAGGAATCTTTCCTCCCTTCATGCTCGGCTTTCCTTCTGTGTGTCCTAAAGGGCGAACTAATAACCGCATCCAAGGCCATCATCGAAAAGGAGTACCAGCCCAAGGTTATTGTCAGCAAGCAGGGCCCCAACCCCTTCACCAAACTAACCGACCAGGAGCTGGAGGAATACCGCAAGGAGGTGGAGCAGAAACAGAAAGGATCCGAAGGTAAAGTTGACGAGCGGAACAGAGAACGTGAAATTGAAAAAATATACTCCCCCCTCTTTGTATTCCTCTTTGGTATATAATTCTGGGTGGTCACAACTGGTAGAAAAATACATTTTGTATGTTTAGATTAGTAGACTTCACCTGCAATCTTTAGTCTTTTTACTGTGTTTAAGAATCTTAATTGACAGCCGTATAAACATAAAATTGATCAAACACTATCTATGATGAGTAATCTTTATATCTTGCTCTTATCTGATTTGACACATCATCATCAATGTGTTGTACATTTCACAGCTCCTTCTCTCTGTAATTGCTCACTTGGCATGCATCAAGAAATGCATCTTAATAATGTAGAATTTTTTAGAAGAACAATGATACTACTGCTATAATTCTACACAGCGAAGAATCAGGCAGAAGCCACGTAAGCTGCTGTCTTCAGCTTCACTTTGTTTTGATATCATATGTTTTAGGGTCAAATTAAGTGTGTTTAAAATGTTCAGAAAGGAAACTAAATGTATTTAAAGACTGGAAAAATAGCTGCCTTACTGCAGAATGATGCAGAAACCCAATGAGCTTCAGACTGGCCAAACTGTGATGTTATCTCTCCACACACACACATGGATTCACAGTGCAGGCACGAGACGATATTAGGGAGGAATCGACCTCCAACGTACCCGGTCCAGACCCTGAAACGGTGCCGAGGGGTCAGTCCTCTGTCTCAACACCTCTACAGTCTGCGGTTGACGCACCCAGCTTAGAGAAAGCCCAGCCTACAGCTACAACAGCAGCCTCTGAGCAGGAGTCTTCTTCTCTCGGCCCGTCCAGTGCGGCCGAGCCAGCTCAGAGCGGTGCAGACTCTGCAGGGACAGTAGCAGACGACGTTTTTTCGACTGGAGATGAGGTTTTTTCGGCTCCAGATTCTCCACATAAGGAGTTCCACTCTGCCGTGCTGCGAGCCCTCAGCAAGGAGCCGTCTGTGGTAGAGGCAGCTAAGGCAGGTCAGGCTCCAGGTACAGCAGATGAAGCGGAGTCTTGCCTAAACTCTGGCCTTCCACTTCCCTCCTCCCCTGCTCAGCCCTGGTCCGTCTTACTACATGCCACTGCACTGGGAGACTGGGGGTCCCCGCCTGCTGTGTCTTTTCCTGTTTCTGAGGGTTTGGAGTCTGCTGCCATTTTTTTTTTTCCATGTGCAAGCATCCTCCCCACCCACAGTTCAGTCTCTGAAGCCTTTGCTTGATTATTTTTTCCCCCCTCACCCCCCTGTCTCTGATGTCTTGTTCAAAGACATCAGAGCTCTCGCAGATCAGATACCTTTCTGCAGTTTGATTGGACGAGGAGCTGAAGAGAGAATGTTTGGAGTAAAATCAAGCCCATTTTAAGATTCAAACCCATTCCCTCTCTTTCAGGGTTCTCACTTAAGTGTAAAAGCGCTTTTGCTATGAGGTGTTTTGCTAACTTTTGAGGAAGCCGCATCTGAGCTCAGTCATCCAATCAGAGTATCCCATGTGTGGAAAGCAAATAATGGTTCTCCTTCTCTTCCTGCTAACCTGTCTTGGTTATATCTTTGTTGGTGTCAATCTCCCCTCTGTGCATCTGACTAATTTCCATTAAAGCCAATGATTTAAATCGGGTCTACAGGTTATTTTAAGGTTGATTTAGTGGGATCTGTTTGCAAAGGTTTGCAGTGTTCTCCTGATCAAAGCTTCCTCCCTGGTTTGGTTGTTTGTGTGATCATCCCTTTCCTTTGTGTTGCATTGCTGTCGATGTTAACTCAGAATTGTTCTCTGACGTCAAATTTGGTGTTTAGGCCAAAAAAAAACACTGGAAATTATAAATCATTTTTATTGTGGATTCATTAAATCCCTTCATCACTGATCTTTTCTGTTTATTTGGCCTAAATAGTTTCGCATTATTTCATTTCTGCTGATTTTCTTTCAGATCCAGATCCAGATGCAGAGCAGCAAGTAGAGTCTGAGGAGGAGCCCAAAGGCCCAAAACCCACCTCCACACCACCCAGCACCCCGGTCAGAGCAGAGGAAGGTAAGTTGGCGCGACATACTTGACATACCCGGCCTGGTCCTGCCTGGTACAGCATGGGTTTGTCCAGCTCCTCCTGCTGGGTGGTTTGGGTGTTTCTAGAGTTTACAGAAGGAATGCAGAGGATCCTGCCTACCCACCTGCCTGTCTGTCTGGGGGTCTGTTGCCGTTGTGGTCTTTAATAATACTACTACAAGTGTTGTGCTGTGTTTTCTGTAATAACAGGCCAAGAGGTTTAAATTATTTAATCAGGTTCATGTTATGAGCAGTGGGATATTACAAGGGCTGATATTCAGCCAAATGTCTCAAGGCATAAAGGTAGGAAATAGACCATTAGTGAACTATTGAGTTAAATAAAATAGGATTTTATCTGAACAACAACTCCATTTAGCAACACCCCAGTGCAGACTTTTAAGTTTTGCTTTTATTTTATTTTATTTTCTCCCTCTTGGTCTTTATTACTATTGGATTACACCTATGTCAGTAGTATCATTCATGATGATACTAAGACTTGCCTTTAAAAACAGGAATTTAAAGCTTGCAGGTAGATTTTCATAAATTAAAAAATTGAGGAGCTTCATTCAGCAAACTCACCTGTAGTCAGTGTGAGGGGAGAGGAAGGGGATGAGTAGATGTGATCGCAGGTGTAATCTAATACCAGAAATGTTGTTATATAACATATGTCTCTCTGTACAGTATTTCCCCCTTCACTTCCATTCGCCATCTTTTTGGGGTCTACTAAGAATGGTTCCCAACCATTCTTCTTTTTATTTTTTATTTTCCCAAAATCTGCTGGTGTTATTTTTTTTTTTTTTCTCTTTCACATTTTTATTTTTTTTATTATTTAACACGGTGCTTGTGGTTTGATCTGCATAGACATTTGTTTCTACTTGTGCTTTTTCTTCTTTGTGGCTGCGATTACAATCAGGAGATGGAAATACAAAAGAGTACCTGTTGCCATAGTAAGTATGTACTGTTCCACCTCCTCACCACCCTCCTAATTACCTGTCACCCTCCACGCCTGTGTTTGATCATGACCCTTTTTTTTCTTTGCATGGCTTCAGTAGCAGAGCTGTCCTGTGGTCTGAACTAACCCGTTTGCTGGGGTTTATGACTGTTCAGTTGGTTCTCTAAACTCCTCTGTATCTCTTTTCTTGGCGGTTAATGGGGGTTATTTCAGAGCTCCTCTCTCTCTCTTTACAAACTTTAAATGACCATGGCAACCAAACAAGAAATGGATATCTTATTACGTTTCCCTTACATTCTTATTTCCTTAGATCTGCAATATCATGCATTGAAGTCCCATCCGAGCTGAATGATAGCGACCTGGTCTAAATGAAAGTGGAGGATGTTCCTGAAGTAAACCTCACAACCTGCTGAATCTTTTACATTAGATAACCTCTCTTTTCTTCCTGTCAGTTATTCACTATTGAATTAACCAACCTCTCTCGCACATAAGCACATCCTATAAGTGTTATATACCACTGTATACTCCTGTCTCATGGAAAAGTCAGGTAATGTTTTGAATTTTGTTGAATGTTGTTTGTCTTACAGACGCGTCCTTTACCAGGTACATCAGTGCTTTCTTTGAGTGTCGCTTTCCAACCAAACTTGCGGCTGTTGGTTTAGCTTGAGAAATGGTTGAAGCCTAAAGCTTGGCTGTGTGGTGCTTAGTCTCCATTTTATCTGTCTGTGTTGTTCGGCCTCATCTCTGTCCTGACAGACATGAGAGGTGTAAAATGAAGACTGATGCGTAGTGTGTTTTCTGGGTTCTTGTTCCTCGCTTAGTCTCTGTCGCATGTGAGCGATATTAAAAAAATGAGCAAAGCTGTAGCTGGTTTGCAGCTGGCTGCACAGTGTGAGCTTGTAGCAGTGTTTCTGGATGCTGTTAGAACCACTGATCCCTGAAGCAGACCTTTCGTGTGCAGCACAAATCTCTCTGCTGGGAGTATATTAAAAGATCAGCACAAGTTAATAGAAGAGCCTCACTGAATCATCGCAGACACTTTGTAAAATTTAAGTTTCTGCTGTTTTTTTTGTCTCAAATAGTTGTATCTTCCATTTCCAAACAACTGAAGCTGTAATGGGAAGTAAAAAGACTCATTGCTACATGGTCATGATAGCTTATATATGGACATTTTCAATATTTAGAAATAAAGCAATATGCTCAGGAAAATGGGAACTGTGTGAACAAAAGTTGCAAACACTCTACCAAGACTCCAGAGAAGAGTTGTAGTTAGTTGTTATGCTCCCAGCATCTGGATTAAAATACAATAACATGTAAAACCGTACTCACTGGTCAAGGCTTTGTGGCTCCTGTTGATAATTCAGCACTTATTGCTTCTTGAGAGCTGCTCCTGTTTTGAATTAATTCCAATTTATCCGTTTCTGTGATGTATAATCTCAACTCACTTTGCGGTTTCGTTATTAAAATCTTTGGGGAGAAAAAAATAAAAACAAAACGCTGTGGACTTTCATTTGTGTTTGTTCTGTTTGTCTGTTTCATTTGTGTTTTGTTTGTACACAGGGTACAAATGAGCAAGGGAACTGCACTCATTAAGATTTCCCTGTTGAAATGAAGGTAAAGCAGAAATGCCGTGTCCCAGCTTGGAGAGTAAAAAGAATCAGAGAGGAGAAATCCTGATAAGTGAGAGCTGTGTGGTGTTTATTGTCACTCCACGAGAAAAACTTTGTAGTTGGAGTGTGTGGTGTAAAAGCAGAGCATCTTGGTTTGGCTTTTGTCTGAGGAAAGGTGCAGGACATGTGTTGTTTAGTTTTTACTGAGAAGTTTTTTGAAGTTTTTTAGATTAAAGAGTACAAAGTTTAGAGTGTCCTGAGGTGATTTATATACATCAGTGTCACATATAAATTAAAGTGAGGAGAAAATGGATGCTTTTTATGTAGAAACTCATGTGGTGTCTTCAGCCTACCCAGTGGTTGATTTGTAGCGGCCTCTGTTGTGAGCTCAGCAGTGCATATCCATCAGTTTGTCCTCCGAGATCAATAACTCTCCTCATTCTGCCCCCACCAGAGTCCTTGCCAGAACAAACTTTTAAGGATGAGAGCGACGCAGCCACCCTGAGACAGACCCTTCCAGATTTAACACCTGACGACCCATCTGACGCTCCAGCACTTCCTGCCGAAGACTCCACCTCGGCCCCTGCCGCTGCAGACGCAGCCGAGGGGGAGGAACCCGCTGACGCTGGCGACCAGGAGGGAGACGAGTCTCCCAGCAAATCGCCCTCCAAAAAGAAAAAGAAGTTCCGCACTCCTTCCTTCCTAAAGAAAAACAAAAAAAAGACAGAGTCCTAGATTGGAGAATGTTGGATCGGTCCTCAAGGCTGGCCTCAGCTTCTTTTCATTTTCGCTTTTTGTCTGCTATCATCGCACCCTTCGAGCAAGCCACAGTTACACGCAGTTATTGCTTTTTGTTGTTTTGATATCATTCGTTGCTGGCTTATTAACCTATTTTTCCTCGTTAGTGTGTGCCAATTTTGTATACAATGTAAAAATGATTGCATAAAGGTTTTTAATTATTAGAGGCTTTTAGTTGTGAGTGAGTGATGCATTCTGTCTTGTCCACTCCATCTGGCCTTTTATGCATGTCTATTACTACAAAGCCCACACTCTTGATGTGAGGTTTTAGGGTTTTATCCCTCTTTTTTTTTTGGTTTTTTTTTAAAGAATAAGTAATACTAAATCATTGTAACCACTAGAATGTATTGGGATTGTATCAAAATATGTCAAAAGTGTCTTTTAAAAAAAAAAAACAGTGAATGCAGGAAGAGAAGCTTGTACCCTGTCATTTAACTGGTGGTAAATTCTGACAGCGAGAACTACAAATTGCATAGTTCTAATTGTACCCCTGAAGCTGTGCATCCATGTAATTACTTGTTTGCAGACCAAGAAGTGCGGTTTGCATAGCTTCAACAGACTATATAATACTGGAAAATGTGTCCATAATGCAATATTTCTGATTAAATAACTCAGTACATTCAATCTTATCACATCTGGACGTTTGTTTACTTTTTTTTTTAATGCTTCAAATCTTCTACCTACACGGCCAGATTTGTTGTGAAGTGCTTACAATCTCGATATGATGTGGAAGTTCGGTTCAATCTTTCACAAACCACATTCCTCAGAATTATCCGTCTGAGGTGCTGCAAACATGCAGATGATATTGTCTGAACCTTTGACGTTGCGCATAGTTCACAGCGAAATGTGAGTCATCCCTGGAAGCGCGAGCATCCGTTGTGCTTGTTGATTATTCCGAGGGTTGATGTAATGTATCTGCTACTGGCTAGAAGTCTTTAATATGAAGGAATGTGTAAAAAAAATAATGTGCTTTTCATTTCTTCTGATTATTTCAGCTTGGCTTTGTTTTGCTTTTTCCCCCCTTGGTTTCTCCTCGTCTCTGAAGGTCAGAAACAGACAGCGATGCTACACATTTCATTTTGTTCCTGATTGTGTCATTTTGTCGTTCTTGTGCTTTTTCTCACATCGTAGATTGAGCCATGATTTCTTGCTGAGAGAGAGCACTGTGAAACTCCTCTTTGTTTTTGTTTTTTTAAACCACTGTTTGGGAACCCATACCACATGTTTTAGCGAGTCACAGTCAATCATAGATGCAGTTATTACATAAATGACAATGTCACTGTTACAAACCAAGCCGCGCGATCAATCATGTTTCAGAACCTTTCTCCTGGACTTTCCTGTGTTGAACTCCACTCTGAGCAGAAATACTTTGTGTGTGTTTTTCCAGTTGCAGTAAAGACACAAATGTACACTGGAGAATCGCTGTAATCAATAGATTGCAAATGAGTTGTGCTTGAGGTTGCAGGGCATTAATACCAAGGCCATTTCCATGCTTTGCTTAACTTGTGTTCAGTCCTCCTGTTTTAATGAAGGGTTTGTCATCTAAGCTTCACCTTATCCGATGTGCTTAACAGACCTTGGCCCTTTTTTTTTGTTTTCACTGCAAGTGGTTTACTTCCACGCTACGTATAAGCTGAGAACTAAACTCCTGAAGGACTGCATGTGGAGAGAGCTGAGAATGTGAGCTGTCCTATAAATGACTGTAACTACCCCTTATATTTGAGTTCTATTTTATTTTAGCGTTTGTGTGCCGATAACAATACTAAAGTCCTTGTAGTCATTTCAGTCAACCATAGTTTTTTTTTTTTTTTCTTTGCCGATAACAATACTAAAGTCCTTGTAGTCATTTCAGTCAACCATAGTTTTTTTTTTTTTTAAATCTCATAACTATGCTGATTTGTATTCTCTGTCCGAACTACTTCCAATTTAAATGTGTCTCATCATTATACCATCTACAGACTTAATACTTCACCTCTGTTTTCTCATGGTTGCAACCATGAATAAAAAAAAACACTACCTTGAAAATCAGTATTGTGTGATTGGAGTCTTTTATGAAGAATCTCAGGGAAATATGCTCGGAGCAGACGTCTTTTTTGCTATTGCACGATCAAACGGGTTGGTAGAGAGTTCAGTGGAAGATGAATCAGCTTTGTCAACTAGAACAATAATTTAGTTTTATTGTCAATTTATTTGCTGAATTAGAATTACTAGTAATGGGTTCAGAGTATTCAATTTCAAATTTTACTCACAATGGACTAATGGACAACCATAAGTACTCATACAAGATCCAAGCACAGAAAGCAACACTTCTTTAACACATTTATGAATACATTTATTAATAGATTAAAAGGTTTATTCTGCCCAAATAGTATTTGCTGATGAATGGTTTATTGTTTAAAAGGTTTATTTCACCCAAAATATCACTTTCTGTGCAAGCACTTATAGTTTAATAGGTTTATTAAGCTCAAAATACAACTTTATGCTCGAGTATTTATAATTTTCATTATGATTACGCTGAAATAGTACTTTCTAATGAACAAGTTATGGTTTTAAATGTCCAAATCGTACTTTCTAATGAGCATGTTAGGGTTTTAATGGTATAATCGATCCAAAATACAACTTTCTGTCCAAGTACGTACATTTTTAAATGGTTTATTCACTCCCAATAGTACTTTCTGACTAAAAACTACTATTGTATTTCTACAAGTAGTGATGTGGTCCCTAAAATGCAGAAAATGCTGTTCTGCTGCTCTACTTGTGTCACCTTTGATTATACTTAAAGATGAACTTCCGGTTTGGGACACTGGGGGCGCTGCAGTTATTTTCAAACCGGAAGTGTCTCTTTTCAGCGTCATTGTTTTCAACTTTGACCTCCGGCTGTGCACGCTGGAAGATGGAAACCCAGTGAAACAACGTGGATAGTGAAATATTAAGCTAATATTTAATAAACTGAGGTTTGGCAGAGCGGTACAAGCCCATGTTTTGTTCCGACTGGATTCAGTGACTTGATTCCTGAACGCGGCTAAACGGTAAACACTTTATCTGTGATAATGTTAGCTTGTTTACAGTCTGTCGACGGTTCACAGCGAAGCAAATTATGTGTAAAGTAGCTTTAATTTGAACGTTTTGGTTCTAGAGTCGTCGTTTTCCAAATTTATTAAATACATTTTTTACATTGAGTAAATCAGAGTCACATTTATACGCCAGCATTGACCTAAAATGCTGTAAATGCTAACCGTTAGCTAGCATCCTGAGACTACACAAGAGGTTTTTCCTTGTTATCTACACCATAGTAGTCATACGAAACTTGACAGGTCCAGAAATTATAATTTTTATCATTACAGCAGCATAAAAAGTCAAATTACGAACAACCAGAACAGACAAAGAAGCGGTTCATTGGTCCACTTGTGTTACAGATGGGGAAGCCACAGAAGAAGAGGAGCCTTGCTGACAAGGTTCGCAAAACCAAGACTTCCACCGAGATCAAAAACAACCCATTTGAAGTGAAGATCAACAGAAAGAAATTTGATATTCTCGGCAGAAAAACTAAACATGATGTGGGTCTGCCGGGTGTATCTCGATCCAAAGCCATCACTAAGGTAAGAGACAACAACCTCATGAGTTAACCACACCTCCTCCATTTACCTTAATGCACATTTCAAGGACCTTGTCATTTGAATCTATTTTTTAACATTAGTAGCTGTTTTATACTATGTAATATAATTAATACATGTATTTTAGTGATAGTCTTTATGGTGTGGTTTTGTTGTGCTGCCCCATGCAAGGTAAATATACAGATCGTAGTACCCAGCAGTTAATAGTGTATTCTATAAACTGTCTCAAAAGTTATTCATGATGCAAAGATAGATAGTCATTTGTGGCCTTAAATACCATCTGCATGTTAATACTGTGATTCAAATCTGGCAGTTGATTGAAATTATGGTTAGTGCTGCAAACTGTTCATGCAAAAAAAACAACAACTATTATTTACAGTTTTATTGGACAGTTCTTTAGTAGCTGATCGGGTCTCTAATAAATCAACTGCCATCAAATTATAGTTCTGAAAGTTCATGATATGTGTCTTATGAGTTTACTATACTACCTGTAACTTCTCCCAGATATAGGAGCTTGTTTTAGCACTAAAATACTTTTAATTTTTAACTCCTAGCTTTAAGACTTTCATAAGTTTCTCTTCACTTTAGGGGATACTTCTAGCCTTAGGATGTTTTGATCTAACACACTTTACATTCAGAGAACTGCACATGTGAGCAGAAGTAGTCAAAGGAGTTAAAAATGCCTGTAAGAATTTGGCTGAATAAAGAAAAAAGATGGCAAACTCTAAATATAGAATAAACAATTCTGTAGTTTGATGGAATGAAAAACACAAAGAGGGATAAAATCTTCTGTCATAGCACTATATCTGGCAGCCATTGGTCACAGCTCACTATCCGTTTAACACTATCTGTGCTGTGAAGCCTGGTGCTCACAGTATCATACTGGGAGAGAAATTTTCCACAGGAGAGCTTTGTAAGAACAGAGGGAACTGTGAATCAATCTAAATACAGGCAAAAGTGTGAGCAAAAGTAAAATTTTCGTCTTAACTACAGTTTGCCCCTAATGTATGATTTTGAATGTGTATATGTGGTGCAGCCTTCACTTAAGTGTAGTTGCAGGTTTTTTGTGTGCATGTTTACCTGTGAAGGAGTGGACCTAATCATAAGCTTGATTTTTGACGTGCAGAGAAAAGAGACCCTCCTGAAGGAATACAAACAGAAGAACAAGTCCAACAAATTGATTGACAGACGTTTCGGAGAGTACGACACCAAGATGGCACCAGAAGACAAAATCCTACAGAGGTTCGCTATGGAGAGACAGGTCAGTGATGTGATAATGCTTTTCTTATTACCTGAAAGGACCCACTGGACACAGGTTACATGGAGATAATAATAAAAAAAAAAAAAAAAGAAGCCAAGCATACAGCGTAACGTATTGACAAATTTTTACAATATCAGTATTTAAGATCTAGTTTTTTACTAGCTTGACATCGTTTTTGTGTCATTGTGTATATTGTAACATTTTGTTGGTAGTTTAGTTTATTAGTTCCTGTATCTGACATGATTCATTGAGTTTTGAGGCCTTGGCTGCAGCTTGTCTTCACACCCAGAAGTATCAGAGTGGAAGGCCTCAAAAACACTTTTCTCCACTTTGTTTCTCTACGCTATAGAAGTGACAGTTAATAATAATCATGAAGGAAAAAAGAGCAAATTTGTCACAATGTTTATGCATGTACAGGAGTAGTAAGAGTCTGCTTCTTTTACTTTTCATGGTCGTTTAGCGTACCCATGAAAAGAAGGATATGTACAACCTGAACGAGGAAGAAGAGCTGACTCATTACGGCCAGTCGTTGGCAGAAATCGAGAAATTCAACGACGCTGTGAATAGTGACGATGAATCAGAAGAGAAAGGCCTTTTATCAGGTGAGTCTTAACACCAAGTGAAGCTAAACATTCTGCATCCGCATGATTTTGGAACATTTTTGTGGTACCTTGAGCCTGTTTCCTGTTAAGCTCAAGAAATGTTTTTCCCTTATAAATAATGTATGTGGGGTGTTTATATCTGATCTTAGAAGTATTCACCAGTAGCTGCCCTTGTCTTGTGTGCTCCTTCAGTATTGTTACAGAAATCCATTTACATCATTAAAAAAAAATGTGATCCAAGCGTGTGTTGGTTCTAGTAAGTTACGATCATGAGAAAACATGATGTTTTTGTGCACAAAAATCCTTTGTGGCTGTGTTTTGTTTTTGTATGGCTTGTTGATTCCCAGCCCACAGTTTGATTTGATAATTCATATTACAGATGACAGAGCTGGCATGTATTAATGACAATATTTGTCTTTGTCACCTAGCTGAGCTGACTGCCTCCCACTTTGGAGGAGGAGGAGGCTTGCTCAGGAAGAAAACATCAGGAGACCAGCAGGAGGAGGAAGGAAGCCAGAGGGCCAAGTCCAGGCAGGAGCTCATTGAAGAGCTCATCCAGAAGTCCAAGCAGGAGAAGGTGAGCTGCCAACAGTCCTGCTGATGAAAACACTTTATTGCTTTGATGTGGATTCATGCTGACTTTTTTTTTTTTGCTGTGTCTTGAATTTAAGTTGAAAAGTGCACACAACTGATGACATTGTGGAATTTTAATTAGTAATTAGGGCTTTTTTTTTTTACTGACTAATGATTGCGGTGATATTCTAGAGGAGATGGCTGATGTTTGTGTTCATCCTCAGAGGGAACGACAGGTGCAGAAAGAGGAGGCACAGGAGCTGACGGAGAAGCTGGATCAGGAGTGGAAAAGCATCCAGGCCCTGATGGTGAAAAAGACGCCCAAAGCCGAACGTGTCGACACGCCAGAAGAGAAACCCAAAGTAGGGATATGCCCATCAATCAACAAAATGCAGCTTTCTTTTTTTGTTCCTCCTTTGTCAGACTTTGATATTCCCTTGATCTCTGCTTCCTCTTTGTACGTTCTAGCTGGAAGAATATGACATGATGGTCAGAGAGCTCGGCTTTGAGATGAAGGCTCAGCCCTCAGAGAAAATGAAAACCCCAGAGGAGCTCGCCAGGGAGGAGAGGGAGAAGCTGCAGAAACTAGAGGTATATACAGCGCAGAAATGTGCTTGCAGTTGCTGAAAACATTAATTGTCATTTAATTAGATTTTTACATCTTAATGCTCTGTGTGATGGATTTCTTTTGCTCTGTGTTTTCTCCAGGCTGACCGTCTGAGGAGGATGATGGGAGATGAAGTCGGGGACAGTACACAGAGTCAGATCCACATTTCTGCAGATGACCTCAATGACGGCTTCATCCTGGACAAGGACGACAAGAAGACGTTGTCTTATCAGGTATGGGATGGCACAGGACAGCAGCTTTGTGTGTCCTCAAATTAATTGCAGTTTTTCTGTTGATACAGAGTTTGTTTTCTTCTCACGCATAGGATGGAAAATGGAACATTGGGGAGGAGCTGGAGGAAGATAAGGATGAAGAAGAAGGAGAGAGTGGCGAGGAAGAGGAATCGGATGCAGAGGAGGACGGTGAAGATGGAGAGGAAGATGATCAAGAAGAGGAAGAAGAGGAGGAAGAAGGGGGCAACAGTGAAGAAGAAGAAGAAGATGGCCACTCAGACCTGGACTCTGAGCAGGAAAGCGAGAATGAAGAGGGAGAACAGGAGGATGAAGAGATCAGTGCCCAACCGAAGAAGAGTCTCACCAAAGAGGAGATGAAGGCCCAGCAGGAGGCAGCCAAAGCAGAGCTCCCATACACATTTGCTGGTAACCACACCCATTACTAAATAGATTTTAAAGAAGCAGGATAGTCATATTTAGGTGACTCTCTTTTTATGCTATTGGTGTTTACGTCTGATTTTGATAAAAACATTGCCGTCATATAAGTGTCTTAAGTGAAGCTTAGATTAATATTTATCACCATTTTCCCCTCACAGAGCAATCAATAATCCTTACTTTTTTCTTATATTCTGTGTGTCTTCTTCCCAAAGCCCCAGAGAGCTTCAGCGACCTGAAAGATTTGCTCCACGGTCACACCCCTGACAACCAGCGCCTCATTGTGGCCAGGACTCAGAAGTGCAACCACCCCAGTCTGGCTGTAGGCAATAAGCTCAAACTGCAGGTACAACATACAGCAAGCGACACATTTCCATAAATTACTGCGGTGCCTTTTCTGTTTATATCTTTGTTGCCAGGCTCAGAACTTACAGTCTCATCTCTGTCTCAGAAACTGTTTGGTTTTCTGTTGGAGTACGTTGGAGAACTGGCCACCAGGAGTCCACCTGAGCTCACCACCGTAGATAAGCTCATACCGTGAGTTCAAGAAGTGCCTCTCTTTCTCAAGTTTTCCTCTGTATTCAAGTATTTAGTTCTCAGAGCTATTTGTCTGTTTTTTCACATTTTTTCCCCCCCATTTCTGTAGTGAGTTGTACGGTCTGTGCCAGATGTTTCCACAAGCAGCCTGTCAGGCCATGCAGAGCGTCCTCGCAGATGCTGGTCACAGCATGGAGGAAGTGGTCGAGGTCAAAGGTCATGCCGGTTTCCCCACGCTAGACATGGTACACATTGTTTGCTTTGAATACTAAAAAACATTTGCAATATCCCCAGAGTGTGTGCAGATTTTAGAGGTTTTAAAATGTTACTTGATTGAGTTTGTGATAGTTTTGTAGATCTGCACCATTTTAACAGCTAGAATCACTCTTGTTTCATTTACAAGTTGCTTTTGTTCACAATTGCTGATGGTCAGTGTTTGTACAGGATGAAAATCAGCAAAGAATCCTGAAAATCTTTAAGCTCTGTAACCCTGAGCCTGGGTGAGAACTGCGGGGACATATATTTTATCAGCTCTTTTCTTCTCTCATCTGATTTTGGCAGCTGAACAGTCGCACTGTTTGAAATGATTTTAGTCAAACTGAATCTGTGGGAGACATGAATAGGATTTTGAAAAGTGAGGGAGATGTATCTCCCTTCATCCCCAGTGGATGGACCCTTGTTCTTGGTATCTGTTGCACATTTGCACTTGTCTATATGACTAATGCAGCCATGTTTTGTTTGTTTTTGTGCTTTAAGCTTGTCTACTTGAAGGTGACGGCCCTGCTGTTTCCTACCTCAGACTTCAGACACCCAGTTACAACTCCAGCGCTGCTTTACATCAGCCAGATTCTCACCAAGGTACACACAGCCTTTGATATGGTTGTTATTGTCTGGGTTGTTAGAGCTGTTTTGATCTTCGTTGCTGCCTACCTGTGCCTGTGCGTCTGTTACTTCATCTCTGTAGCGTCTAATGAGGCTTCACCATCTGTCATTAATTTTAAATCCAGCCCTCATTCTTTTTTATTTAATCTTTTTTTTTTTTCTTGTGTGTTTACTTTTATCCCATATATACATGTAAAACCTTTACAGTTATTCAGGTTGGCCAGATCACCACGGGGAAGTTGTTTTCTTTCCTGAACTGCCGCTGAAACAGTCAGTGACAGTAAGAGAAACATCATGTTTATGTCTGTGTGTTTCTATCTTTCTTTCCTACTTTTCTAGTGTCCAGTGAAATCATTACAGGACCTAACATCAGGTTTGGTTCTGTGCTGTCTGGCGGTGGAGTACGTCTCTTTTTCGAAGCGCTTCCTGCCTGAGCTCATCAACTTCCTGTCTGGGACGCTTCACCTGGCAGTGCAGGACAAAAGTTCTCTAGGTAGCTTCACAGCACAAGGGCAACATGCATGTTTTGGTGCCAGCTTTGATAAAGTATGAAGCAGAACTGACATAGTTTGACATTGCAGGTTACACGGTGGTGCCACCTTTCAGGTCATCGGGGAAATACAGTGATCTGCTCGTGTTGTCGACCTCAGAGTCCTGCAAGAGCTGGAGCAAGAAAAGCCTGCCGCTGTCCGCTACACAACACCTGGAGCTCAACAGTGATCTCGACAGAGACAACCACAGGTAGGACGGCAGGGCAGTAGAAACGGCAGTCAAACCTCAATACTACTGAAAGATTTTATATTTTTATTCACCGCTTTTCTGTGTTGCCACCACAATATAAAATAACAGGACTGTTCACAACAACATTGGAACAATTGGCTCTAAGGTACCATGTTAATTTGAATGAAAAAATAAAGCAGACAGTGAAGCTACATGATTTAACCAGATAAGATTCTGCTTTATGTTACCGAAAAATGTTTTTGTGCAAAACTCTTGTCTATCTGTTAAACATGAAACAACAGCCATGTTTTAAAAAAAAAAAAAAAAAAATCACCTGTGGACACTTGGAAGTTTGCTGATTATTGTGTTGTATATAATTAGTTTTATCTGTAAACGAATAAAGCCAGTAGATGTACTTGTCATTTTTACTATAAGTAAGCTAGTTGTCATCTGCATATCTTCCATTAGTCATGTTACTTTTGATTGACGCTAGTTAGCATTAGTGGTTAGATTCACTTCTTTGCAAGTCTGTAATTACCTACTCGCTGCACTAGATCTCCACCAGAACTCAGCAAGGAAACTAAAATGATATTAACTTTAATAAGATCTCCACTTAATTTCTCCCAGGCTGCTAAACTCAATACTGAACTGCATTTGAACTGTAAGAACTGTCCTCCTTCTCTCTCTTACTCCAAACGCGTCATAGAGGAATCTCTTGACAGGAGCAATGATCACAAAACACAACTCTTTCCATGTAATTATGGACTTGTGTGTAATGATAAATCTGTCGTTTTTCTGGTGCTGTCACCTTTATTTTACCACACAGGTGACTAAGTAGATTTAAATATTTCAGCTGGACCTTATTGGCTCACTATTTCATAATAGAAAATCTTACAGTGCCTTAACTGGTCATCAGAATGGAGGATGTACCGAAGCCATGCAATAACAGAGATGAACACGTTTCTGGAGACAATTACAGGCACAGTAGGAAATCAAGGAGGGAGCAAAGGTGTGAGAAAATCCTTTATCTTCTTCACACTGCTTCTCCTGTTTATTTTGGATCTGAGTACGACCACCAAAAAATGAAATGGCTCCACTGGAAGAGGAGAAGTGAGGCTGATTAGTGACCTTGTATAGAAGTGAAAAAAAAGAAAAGCTCGTTTATTTTTTCAGCAACTCTAAACTGAAGCACACAAACATGCACTTATACAGATTTCTCATCTAACTTGTTGCTTTGCAGCATTTTTCATGAAGTAACACGTTCTGCATGGCTGATAAAGTATCACCAGTTATTATTATCATCATGGCCACCGTTGTATGGATATGAAAACCCAAGATAGTCCATCAGACTGTGTTTACCTGTGCACGCTGTACGGCTCAGAACTGATGCATCCAATCATGTGCTCGTGATGAGTCGCCAGCATGGTTTCACACAGCAGCTGGTGTGTGGGCACAAAGCAGAGCTCGCAAACAGGCTTCAGCAAGCCATGATTGTGCACAGTTTGTGAGAACATACATTTTTATTTGTACCCAACTAAAATTAATACTTCTAGCATTTGAATAAACACTCAGAATGAAAAACATGTTAGAAAGAAATCGTTTGCTGTCTGTGTTTGTAACAATGGCCCAAAAAAACCCAGCAAATTATCTATTGCATTAATTTGAAAGCAACACTTGTTTTCAGTGTTTAATTTTGTAATAATGCAAATTAAGTCTTGCTGTGTCTAATTAGACGCTCAGTAAATCATCGTCTACGCTTTGCCTCGCAGTCTGATCTTGGCCAATCTCCTGCACTCTGTTATGACCTCAGTGCTTCATATGAGCCCTGCTCCTCACACCTGGGTGCCCAGTTGTGTTCTAATTTCTGCATTCCTTCAGGCCGTCCAGTGACACACACACACACACACACACACACACACACACACACACAC